ACCCAAAGAGAAAGAGGCGACTCGGAGTTGTTGTATGGAGAGTGCGTCGGTTTGGACTACAGAGAGCGCGGGGTCTGGCCCGTGTTCCTCCCTCACCTCCGGTCGTCCCAGTGCGCTCCCGACCTTCCCCATCCCCGATGACGACAGTGTCTACTGCGATGCGGACGTGCGGCGCGCCCTGAGATGAACGGAGCAGATCTGCTTGCGTAACCCGCCTCAGGCGTGTAATATAGGGGGAGACGGGTTTGTCCTGATCGATCGGTTCGCCTCTCCGTCCCTGATATTGCCCTACACCAACTTGACGGTGCTACCTTGGTGGGCAGCCCACGCCACGTGGCAGCCACAGTTCAATTGCCGCTGGTGTCGCCAGGGAGACTCTTGCTCCTGGCAACGGCTGGTCCTTGGATACGAGGGAGCTGCGCGTTTTCCCGAGCTCTCCCGTGGCGCGAGTGCGCGACCCGCACAATTTTGAACTTGGGTGGCAACAGGCCATCCCTGCCGTATCGCCGCCTGCGCAAGAGGGTCCTCGCGGGCTCGACGAGTCCGATGCGGAGGCCCAAAGGCCTCGAACCCATTACCTATATGACTAACCCATCGCAGCGTAACGAGGAACAGAGATCTCCGTCCTCCACTGCCGTGACCCATTCCCCATAGCACTTTTTCTCGTCCTGATTTATTAACGGCCATTCCGGCTTGCGGGACTCCCCCTTCCCGCGAGGAGGCATATTTTTCCCCTCGGGAGTCAGCGGCGATGGTTCGATTCCTTGGCGACCTCTGACCCGAAACCAGGAGATCCCCGTTTCGATCGGGTGACTCCATCCCTACGGACTTAAATCCTCGGCCACACCCCCAACAACTCTGATCGGCACATAAGGGCACGCTACGCCGCGCGGGGTGTGAGGTTGCGCGTCACATGCTCTTTTTTTCCCCTAGCGTTCTATTCCGGTCAAAGGGTAGTCAAAGTTTTGACACGCAGAAACTAGGCTGTGCAAAGTGAAGAATCTGAAGAGCTATCTGGAAAAGATCCAGATAGCTCTTCAGAGTCTTCACTTTGCACATTGTCAAGCTAGGGGCTGTTCAGATGAGAATGTGAAGACAGAAGAGTTTGCCAGTCATGGAAGACCAGATGATAATCTCTGGTCCCTGCTAGATACTGCTGGGGCTGTTCAGGCTGATCCCCACTCCATTCTCCTTTAAATCCTTTGTTTGTTTGTTTTTAATTTTCAACTCCATACTGCTATTAAATTAGCTATCTACCCCCCTTGATCCCCCCCTGGGATGGGCCATTCAGAGCAGAAGGATGTGATAGATCACCTGTATGATATCCTTGTTCCTTTGGAAAGGAATCCAGTTGGGGTTGAATCACATCCCAGTGACCCCACCTATGCAATAATTCCAACTGACAGTGTATCATGCTTGATCTGCTCGGTCACCTCTGTGCCTTCCACCTGCACTCCCGCAAGGACCAGAAGACAGTGTTGCCACCATAGAGCCCACAGAACTGATCTCCGGGGTAGTCTGTACATGTTCTCAGCAAAGGTTCGTACTTCATGTAGCGGTGGGCTGGTGGCCAATACCCTGCCAAGATTGCCCTACAGGACCAGGGCCAGGGAGTATTGGGTATCATCTTCCGCCAGATCCTATCCCACGAGCGCCAGGTGAGCTGCGGATTGGGGCATTGCATGAAAATGTGTTCGACGATCTCAGATCTTGAAAAGGCTGCTTATGTCTCTGGCGCATGCCCAGGGCGAAGGAACATGCAAAATGACCTATAAAAAGAAAACGGGCCGGGACGGCGCACGCCCGCCCTGCCCGGGTGTGGTAGTGGAATCGTGGATCATAGTGGATGTGCTGAGGCGTTTTCCTGGGCCCATATCAGCCGTCACGCGAGGACTGCTCCTTGCTTTTGGAGATTATACATAGATGATGGACGACATGATGATGGAGGCGATGAGGGGAGAGATCACATTGGTTCCAACTTGTGTTCAACTACTTCTTTCTTCGATCTTCGATCTTCTTTCTCTTTTTTCCAATGTCTTCT